GCGGTCCGCGCCCCGGGGGCCGTGGGGGGCGGCCGGGCCCCGGGCTCCCCGGCGGCTTTGCGGGGATTTGCTGATGTGCAGGCCCCAGGGCTTGGCGGCGTGGACGCGGACCACGTAGGTGGCCTCGTGAATCTCGACTTCAGCTCTGAGTGTATAGATTTTTTTTTTTTTAATTCTCCAAGATGGCGAACTGCCATTGATTTCTCTCCTCCTCCTATGGAGACTCATCGATAGACCGTTATCCCCAGTTACGCAATCCAGCACTTTAAAAAAAAGGGGGGGGTCGTTTGTAGGGGATTTCCAATCCTGGAGGAAGACCGGGGAACACTTTACTTCTCCAAGCCCCTCCCTCTGAAGCTGATGGAGATTTGTGCATCTGGGTGCCCGATTTTCCTCTCCCTTGATGGGTTTTGACTCGGCTCCTGCACGTTTGGGGGAGATTTCGTCTTTGGTGTCCGCCAATTGTCCGCCCGAGGCTCTTTTCGAAAATAGTGACGGCGGTGGCAAATACGTGCCCCTTTGCCGGATGTCTTAGCCCCATTCCCCGTTCCAAGCAGACGCCAAAACGCGAGCCCCGGCCAACGGCGCTGCTAATGATTCCAACCCTACCTAATTAACGTGGGTTCCCCTTCCGATGGTGTCGAGGCCATTCTTGGACAGCTCGGGCTTTCGGGCCTGCCTAGCCCGTGGAGAGCGCCCATTCTGACCGAGAACTGGCATCTGGTGATCAACTTTTTCCCTGCAGTGCTCTGGTCTTTGTGTGCGAGTTCCCGCTGTCTGGCTGGGAAGATTGCGGGCGAGCTTGGAAATGGCTGGGCCTGCTATGACTGTGCAGTTCTGATGGGGGCGACGCCTGCCTGCCTGCCCGCCTGCCTGCCTTCGTGTGCAGTGTTAGAACGCACGTTTGCCCCCTGCCTTTCCGGTTCTGCCGGCTTCCTCAGTTTCTCTCCCCATCTCCCTCCATTATCCGCCCTCCGACCACTGCTGACCGCAGTACTGCAGACAGAGCCCTCCTGTCGTTGGCCGGGAAAGAAAACTGATGATGGAAGTGGGAGGGGAGGGAAAAAGGACAGTGGTTAGAGAACTAGGGACGAGGGAAATATGAATTTGGAAATGTCCTGAGCTCTAGGGATGGAGGCTCACAGAGGAGGTTTCCGTTTGTGCTGGCTGTCCAGCCTAGGGAAGAGGACAGATGCCCGGCAGCATGGGCCTTATTCTGGGAGATTTGCAAGCAACTCTGCATTTGGTGCAGCATGACTGTTGTATGACTGGACGTGATGGATCAACTGTTCAGAGTGGAGGTCCATAGCACCTCCAGACACCACCTCACATGGTAAACTTTATAAATAATTCTTAACTTTGCAGTGTGTTAAGTGTCAACTACCAAACATGTAGAAAGATTCTTTGTATGGAACGGCCTTTCATTAGCAGACACACACACACACACACACACACACACACACACACACACCCCAAGCACAATCTGAATCAACTCACTTGACAGTAACCGTGGGATTCGATCATTTTGTAGAAAAGACTGAGTCTTGTTTTTGCATTAGTTGAACACGGCTGTCTTGTAGTGGCAGTTCAAATTTGGCACATAATCGTTCCTATGATGCTGAGGGCTTAAAGGAATTAACTACATGTCCTTTGTTTGTTTGTTGTCTTTTTGGGGGGCAGCCAATAGAAATAGATATGATTGTAGGAAAAGACCGGGAAGGTTTCTTTACCAACGGTTTGACCCTTGGCGCGAAGAAGTGCTCAGTGATCAGAGATAGTCTGTACGTTGACGGCGACTGCACAATGGACATCCGGACAAAGAGTCAAGGTGGGGAGCCGACGTACAACGTTGCTGTCGGCAGAGCTGGCAGAGGTAAGCAAAGCATTGTGGGTTCAGAACTGCATGCCACGTACTACTTATGAGCAATCTCTTTAACATTTTGTATCAAAGTGTTAGTCGGGACTGGCTAGTAAGGTTTCTGCGGACTGCCCAGCACTGAAACGAGGTCTGCGTTAGGTTTTGTGTGTAGCTGCTGCACACGAAAGCTAGCATTTTATATTCTGGCTTTATTTTAAAATAGAATTTCCATGTGTCATGGCTTCATTTGCAGCTTTCAGTAAACTTAAAGTCTAAATTTGTCTTTTACGTTATTTGACATGCCAAATGATAGTCCACTGCACTAAATTATTTAAATCTAATCACTTTGCATCTTTGAATTTGGGGTGTTTTTTTCCCTTTCTTACTTGCATTTTAATCATCTCACTACTCAGCATCAAGAAGGAAGAATTAACTTTGGCTCATTTTTCAGTTAGGAACATTGCTGGAGAGAGAAAAAGAACTAGAATGCAGGTTTCGAAATGAGAACGTTGTACATTTACCTTAATAGTTGTCATTTAAAATATTTTCATGTATGTGTGACTTCGATTTGAAAAATAGGAAATATCATTCAGTTTATATACTTGGTCCAGACATTCTGGTGTCACCTGACTCTTGTCAACATTGTAGAGATTCTTCACTAAAGAAGTCCGCTTGTTCAAAAGAAATTTTTTAGAAGTGGAGTTTTTTTTTAAGGCATCTAACTGATTTACATATACATTTAAATGTATTACCCTATCTAAATACTATTTTAAATTAAAAAGGCTACTGTAGTACAGGAGCTCTTGTGGCCTAGGCGTTGTGCATTAGGCTGCTAGTTCAAAACCATCCTCTGCTCCTCAGGAGAAAGATGAATGCGGCTTTGTACCTGTACTCCAGGAAAGCCTCACCGTCTTGGAAACCCACAGGCTGTCTGTCCTGCCTGCTTTCACAGAGTCCTGATCGACTTGCTGGCAGGCAGTTTGGAGTTTTGGGAGCAATCTCACCGAAGCAGACTCCACACATAAGTGTAAGGACAGATTTAGCACATGAAGGGTCTTGAAGAGGTTGAGCTGTAATTTAACACTGTTGCTCTACCAACTCCCTCTGAAGTTACTCTGATGCTAATGCAAGTTTTGACTTACCAGTGTTTCTCTCTGACACAATTAGATGATTTTGAAACAGACAAATCTCTAAACATTAGCCGAGCAGAGGAGACAGATGTTAAAGGAAGCGTCAACCCTGCGACAAAAGCAGGATGAGGTTTTTGTCCCATATAATACTGCTGACCTCTAGTGGCAGCGGGTGTAATATCTGACTAGAGAGCGATTCTAGGGATTTGCATGAGACCAGATTCAAAGCACAGCACAGTGAAGATAGCAGTGCCTACATGCCTCAGATGTTTTCAATGACCCTGAGGATGGTGTCTTGACATTTGGTCTTGGCTTTCCTCTGGAAGAGACACATTTAGCCTCACTGATCAGACAATGACCTTGCACTCATCCAGCATGTTACGTTTGTGGGGAATTTGTAAATGGATCACTACTCTCATTTCATTTTTGTGACCAGTACTTGCTGCGGCCAGTACTTGGCCCAGCAGCCAGGTGTTGTTGCTTTGTCCTCGGGTCACTGTTCAGACGGCCCGCGGCTGGTGGACAGGTAGTTGCACAGAGGCGTGGAGCGGCGTGGACTGGGCTCAGGTCCTGGATGCTGCTTGAGCGCATTCCTAGTACGAGAGCACTCCCTTTCCGAGATCCATCCGCTTCAGTGCTCGACAGTTCCCGGGAAACTAACTTGATGTTAACTTATTAATCTGAGTTCTGTGTGTGACTTTCTTGATTAACCTTTCTTTTGAAACACTTTTCTCCTTTCTCTTTCAGTCTTGGTCTTTGTAATGGGAAAAGAAGGGGTCCATGGAGGCGGATTGAATAAGAAGGCATACTCAATGGCAAAGTACTTGAGAGACTCTGGGTTCTAGCTGCTAGGCAGACTGTTAAGTATTAGGGGAAATTGCTCTTAAACTTTCCTAGCGGCTGTAAGCTTGAGTCTTAAATTTGGAAATTTTATTAGCAATGCAGGGTGATGGGGTATGAACCTGTGTCTCCTTTGTATCCCTCTGTTGGTGGGGAAAGGTGTCTTTCTTTCTGCCCTCCCCCCTTAAATAATTCTGTTCACTTTTGTTTTGTTCCCCTGTGTACTCCAGCACTGGTTATAGTCATGGGAAAGGAAGGTGTCCACGGAGGCACACTTAACAAGAAAGCATATGAACTCGCTTTATACCTGAGGAGGTCTGACGTGTAAGCAGCCTCTCCCCATCTACCTAGCAACTGTCCGCATCACCATCCCAGTTATGGTCACAGTACTACCAGACTTGAGATGGTAGCTCATTTTCCTTTACCTAGTTTTTTTAATGTCACAGTTCTGTTTGTCCAATGGCTCATTTGTATGTTAACCGCTGTATGTAACCAACCCTTATCTGGCAAAATAATTGCAGCACAATAATGATTTGCATGATACCTTGAAATTTGGGGGGAGGGGGCATGCCAAGTTGGGCATCACTTTGTCTTAGCAATTAATGGGATATCGAATACTAAAATAAGGTAATAACTAAGCAAGGTGCCGGTTGTACAATCTCTAATTTGATCGACGTCTTTTCAGCACTTTGAGCATCTACTCGGCTCACTTAGTCTTCCTTTTGTTGCGCATGGTTGGGAGGGAAACGTGCATGCCTCTTTCCTTCACTCCTGTTGTCCCATCCCTTCCTCTGCACACACAGCGCATTCGGTTTGCTTCCATCTCTCTTACGCAGTGCCTGGTTTATTTAACCAATTAGTACCCCTTCTGTTGACGAGCTAAGAGAGCTGCCGTAGTTTGCTTTCAGTCTGGTCGCTCCTGAGACAATACTGCTTTCCCAGCACCTGCCTGCCGTACAGAGTGCAAGTGCAGAAGAAGAGCAAAAGGCACTTCCTCGCGTGACCGTACAGCAGCCACACTGACTGGCTCCCCGGACATTCCATCATTGCAATAGCTCAGATTTGTGTTCCTGTCTTTTTCTTTGCACACCAGCTCCACTCTGTAGTAAAACTGACTGACAAAGGCTGGCATTGTGGGCATCAGGTATCCCAAATAACCATCTGGAGTGTGTCCGATCTGTTCTTCATAGGACCAACTTTTACTTGCAGCTTGAGGTTTTATATGAAGTTCATTATTGTGGACTTGGCTGTCTTGTGATGAATTTTTCATATGTATTCTGTGCCATACTATTGTTAAAATGAACTGTTGCTATTGTGAGATGGATTTTAACTGACTTATTAAGGATTTCTTTCGAATGGCACTACTTTAGGGACATTCTAGTATTTGCTTCTATTGTTTGGGCCTTGTGGATAATGTACAGATTTCAAAACCAATCTTGTTGCTGATTTGTCCATTTCTTTCCCTGCACTTTGTTACATCCGGGATACAGTCTAACTCATCTGATTTAATATGCATTTAAAAAAATGCCATAACTATTAAACACCTTGTTTACAGACAGATGAAATAAATTTATTCCAACCAAATAATGGAGACTCTGGTTGTTTGTGTCAGTTGCTGGCTCACTGTTAAGGTTGATTTTTGACACAGAGGAAACCTACAGAATAAACTAGTCTACCTGCAGTAACACAAACACCTGCAGTTTTTGTTTTTGAAACCTGATGGCATACTTTTATTTCAAGCCATGTTTATTATTAATAAAATCAGTGTCTGGGACTTTTTTTAATGGGCAGTACTCTATTGAAAAATAGATTTCAGGCTTACACAAGGAAAGTGGACTTACCCTCACATATTTTCCTCATGTTGCTAATACCTAGAAATGAGTTAACTAGTGAGTGATATGGAGACCCTGAGCCAACAAGGGTCTCGACACTCTTGTAGCTCCTTTGGGTGTCCATGACAAGTTGCCAGGCATCAGGACAAGTACATTAACTGAAAAAACTAAACCCACTGCCACTGAGTTAATGCCAACTCATAGTGACCCTATAGGACCGAGTAGAACTACTTAAGATTTCAGAGGCTGTAAATCTTAATGGGAGCAGTAGCCTCATCTTTTGTCTCAAAGAGCAGCCGGTGGATTTGAACTGCCTAAGGTTGGCTGCCTGGTGCATTCCTCGTAGCATCACCAGAGTTCCCTGACTTGTCCCTAGAGGGATACAGAAGTGGAAGATAGAGGATGTGGGGCTCCTTCAGTGGTTGGGCAAGCCCTAGAACTCCCTAAAGAAGAACAGAAGTGTATTGGGAGCTAATTGACCTGTGAGATCCCTGGCTAGGACAAGCAAAAGCTCCTTCCTTCGAGTCGGCGCCAAACTGCGTGGCCTTCGGAGACGGAGAACTGCTGACTGTCCCTCTTTAGGGGAGTGGGAAGCCGTCTTTCTGAGGCGGTGCTCTCAAACCGGGGGGACACCTTGGCAGTTAGCAGTCCCACAGGGCTCGCAGGATCAAAAGGTGTTAAATGAGAAAGTGGCTGTTGTGATGATTTGAGACTGTACAGTAAAACACCATAGTTGGTGAAGGGCTTAACCAAATCTGCCGCTGAGCTAATTCCGAGTCACAGCAAGCATGTGTGAGGTGTCTGAGGTGGTCCATCTTTGCAGGAACACCTACAAAGGTGGTGAGCATTGTGAAACCCTTTCCGAGTGAAAGGCTGTGGTGGGTAAGTGGATGTGAGGGTGGGGAACGGAGTGGAAGACAGGGCAGCTATTGCGAGTGACGACTACAGACATGCGCATACTTGCATACTTCGCATGTCGCGCAAGGAAGCTGAGGGGGGCACGGGCGTGTATCGAAAGTCCACCTCACAGTACTTCAACAAAGCTCCACTTGGATGCGCTGACGAAAGGATAAAATGAAGAGTGAACACAATGCCTGCCGTCGACTCTTCTCACACAGCTTACACCCCTGTCGACACAGACGCACAAGGTGGAAAACACACTGGCATTTTACAAACATTTCTGAAGCCGGTGATAAGTTGATAAGTTTATCTCTGGGGTAAGTTTCCAGTTGACTATTTTGATGTCTAGTGTTTAATACTACTTTTACGCTTGGGAAAATTACAAATTAGGAAGGTGTTTTTTTTTAAACAAAGTGAATCTTAATTGTACTCAATGCCCTCTTCAGAAGGAACTATAAACGATCTGGCATGGATACTAAGGGAAGCAATTAACTGGCTAATCAGTGCCGTCAAATAAGGTACTACATAATTTTTTATAACTAATTGTGTAGAGTTTCAAGATGTTTTGAAAAGGAACCCGGTCTGTGATCTGAACTGAATTTGGGCCGAGGGAGTACCATATCCAACGCTCGTCACATCCTTCCATGCCAGTTAACTTTCTGTCTCAGTTACTGTGCCAGGCACTTGCACCTGCATTTTGTTCTCACATCCTACCTAGATGTTAAATTATGCAAATGACCTTACAGGAGTAGGAAGGTGGGGGGCATACAAGTGTGCCCAGTTCCGCTTTATTATAACTACTATGGTAAAACCATCACCTTACAGGATTTTCTAAGAAGGTTATTTGATATCCTGTTTCTTGGGCTTGTTTATAAACGGGGAGGATAGGAGAGATTGGAAACAGTAGATAAAGGAGTCCAACCTTCTAAGTTAAAAAATACTTCGTCCTTTTCATAATTTTTCACAAGACCTTCTTCCTACATTGCTTAGTAGTGTTTTACTCTGTAATAATCATTTCCCCATGTCCGTAAAGGCAAGTCTGCCCTTTGAGCACTGCACAGTCTGCGTAAGGATGTACCATGACTTACAACTGGGTACCACAAGGCCCACTACTGTTGGGATCATTAAGGCTGTGGTCCTATTTTAAGCATTTTTAATTGCTTGTGAACCAGTTGCCTTGTATACAAAGATAAAAGGTATTTCTCGGTCTCCAGTCATACCTTTGTAGCACTTCATTCGAATAAGGCACATGTGGTAAGTAAGACTACAATAGAACAAACACTTGCTGGTTCTTAAAAGTGGAAAACGTGTTTATTAACATTTAAATTCTCCTTACAAGGCCATATAAAAATTCTTAGCATTTTGATTATACTTAGGTCTGTGTTTTCTACATAGTTACAATAATGTATAATTTAGCTTTTCATAATACATTGTTAATACATCATTAGCTCTGTTAAACAATCAGCACTTATTATTAAATCCAATACTTGAATAATTTCCTCTATACATAATTTAGCCAGGCTAATTGGCATGAGATGCTCTTATTACGAGGTATATGATCTGAGTATGAACAGTTGCTGAAAGTTCAGTATTTTTAGTTTGTTTGCTTTGATCGCAACCACACAAAACCCAAGGATGCTGAAATTCAGTAAGCAGAGTCCAGAGACATTAGTTGCTGAATCAAATTCATACATAACACTATAGTATTAAAAACCCTAAACTTTCGTGTTGTTTTTTGAATCTGCTCTAGTACTAACCGTTCCTGGCACGGTAAGACTACTCGGGCACTGGAAGTACGAAGGCAGCTTTGGGTCTGCCTCCCTTGTAGGAAGCAGAGAGTAAACTGCCTTGTTGCCGCCTCTCAGTGATGGTCATTTGGGGAATTTCCAGAAAAAAACATCCTAATTCAGCAAGTCTAGGTGACTTTATTGAGAGTTGGCTTAGCTCATGCTAGGTGGCAGCAACTTTTGTGTAAGACAAAATATTTGCATACCGTTATCTAGGTCTTAATTGCAAGCTCTGAGGATTTAAAAAAAATGTTTTGGCTATTTTCCATTCCCAAAGGAGAGTCGATGCTGGCGTTCACAGCACCGTTCTATTTGTGGACTGACAGACCCTCCTACCGACAGATGCTGGATCAAAAAGCCTGTTTCTGCATTCCACTTGAACTGTGGTATACTGAAAAACAAGTTACTTCTACAGAAATCTCTGAAGGGAGGCAAGAAATAAAAAGATATACCTAAGTCCAATTTCAGTGGAGCAATAAACCAGCCCAACTGTGCCGCTCACACCGTGTTCGCGATGTTGTGATCCCGGTCATCGCTGGGCTGCAACTGGACCACCACATCGTGTTCGTTAATTTCATTCTCCGCCTCACTGCTGTCACTGTCGTCTTCGTACTCAGACGACTCCGTCGTGTTCTGGTGTGAGTGGGATGCCGACAACGCCCCAAAGGACTGGGTGCTGACGGAAGCCAAAGGTCTAAGTAAAGGGGTGTTCTCTGACACTTCGTGGTCCTCTTGACCACTGTCTGTGTCAGACTCGGAATCGCCTTGGGAAGGAACGACTTTCTGCTTGCAGACGGGGCAGGTTTTTCTGGTTTTGGTTAGCCAGGGGTCAACACACTTGCAGTGGTAAGCTGTTGGAGCAAAACGGAGGATTTGGGTTAGTTTGCTGTGGTTGAGGGCCTTACTGCTCATCTCTTTTGCCTTGGGTATTCTGTGATTCCAGACGCAGGTAGGGGCAGAAGAAAGTTGGTACCGTTTTCTAAGACAGGTTCACCCGTTAATGAGACCACTGGTTAGCACAGACCAGCACGCCCAGTCCTAAGGACGATTTTCTGCCTTGGCCCTTCAAATAGGATTCTGAATGTGAATGCTTCCACGTGACGCAAATGGAAGCCCGTAGGTAAGTGATTCATACCGTGAGAGCAGGGAAGAATTCTGAGTTTGTCTCCCTCCTCGTATTCATCCAGACAAATGGCACATACATCGTACTCGTCTCCTGTAACAGAAAATAGGAAGTGAGAACTGGAACAGGTGGAGCCTGAGTCAGCTTTCCAAACCATTCAAGTGAACACCCTTTGATTTATTTTCACATGATGCTTAACTGTTCAGGGAGCTGAAAGTTTCATTAAAAACGATCCATTCAGGTGGACGTCCAGTTGATTCATCTTACGGAAGAAAGGCGAGGCTTTCTCTACTCTCTCTGGACAGTTAATCTGGAAACCCGCACGGGCACTTCTGCCTGTGCCCTCTGTCAGAGCCGACTGGATGGCAGTGAGGAGGGTTGTGGTTTATCTTTGCAAGTAATGCTGACTGGAAAAACTATAGTTCCATTAATGGTTTTAGAAACTATTCAAGTGCTAGTTTTGAGATATGCCAAATAACGAAATCTCATTAAAGTTGTTTTGAAGTTTATTATTTTAAAATAAAGATGGAGACATATTAGAATATACGCAATTGTTTTTAATTACCATTGCTGTCCAGTTGATTCTAACTTGAAATGACCCTAGGACAGAGTAGAATTGAATTGTTACCCAGGAGGATTTCCAGCACAGTAATTCCTATCAGAGCAGACTGCCACTTTTCTTCTCCAAGGAGTGGCTGCTGGATTTGAAGCACCAACTTTTGGGTTAGCAGCCAAGCAGTTCTCCACTATGCCATCAGATCAAATTTTAAAACAGATTCGCAAAAATGAGTGGGAATGACGATTTCAAATCTCAGTCCCAATATTTCCTGATTCTTTGCTGTTCAGCAAATTACTTAACTTGAGATTCAAGCTTTTTTAATCTCTAAAATACTCTTACCTACTTAGGTCTATGCCGACTGGATGAGGCCGTGTGTTCAAAGGGCCTGGCACACAGCATCTCAAACCGTGCCCATTAATGTATTGCTGTTCTAGTTGAGGTACAATCTCCACCTGGTAGGGCTGCATGGCTGGGCCTACCTCTCAAGAATGGGGCACCCCTCCAAGACTGGCTTCTCTCTCCTGCGGCCTGTGTGCTGCCCTCCCCAGGAGCTCTGTGTCCTCGCAGAGAGCTAGCCACAATGGTCACTTGACATGACATTAATGGTCATTAACTATTCAGCAGCCCATGACCTGTGAGTGTACAGGACTTCTAGCTCTATTGGCAAGCTAGGCTGAATTAATTAAAAATGCTTACTGCAAGCTACTTGCCCCAAATAGGGCCAAATGTTAAATTAGGTACAAGGAGAAAAGTGTGATAGAGTGGACAAAATTGTGTGTCAATAAAAAGCAAGAATCTGAGCAGATTCCAATTCTTGCATTACTCAAGTACCTGAAACCAGAAATAATATTAAATGTATTATGTATGTACCATGTCTACTGGGAAATCAAGCCAGCAAATTCATATTTAAAGAAAAGACCACAGCCCAACATCATCTAGTTAAGTGGGTGCATATTTATATTCATTAACTTAAATAAAAGGCATTTACATACTTTTGGATTTATAAATTTAGATCTTAAAATTAACCAATTGCCTACTGGTTCCAGTATGAGCCAGAACCGGCTCTCCATGGCAGTGAGCTGGGAGTTGGTAATCAGTGCTTATGAATGTTTATCAGTCATTGTTAATCCTATGTTAGGGAGTTCTGTGGCTTAGGATAAACTAGTCGTTTTCAATCGAGACAAGTTTGTCCTCAGGGACTTTCAGCAATGCTGTGAGACATTTTGGGTGGCCACACGTGGGGAGTCACACTGCAAAGCACTAACAGAATTACTTAGCCCCAAATGTCGGCAGAGAGGCCGTTGAGGGACCCTGGTGTCAATCACTAGGCCCTTATCAAGCAAAGACTTGCTTATCTACTCGTGGAGATGTGGGAGAGGTGAGATTCCGGTCTGTCATGTGAAGCAGCATGGAAATGCTTCTGTACTGAACGTTCTAACATTACTGCCATTTGAGTCAAGGTTTAGAAAAGTGTCATAACATCACCGTTAAAGTCTCGTCAACCTGGAAACGTTCTATGTTTAGACTGGCAGAACTTTGACTAACCCTTCCTCACTTTATTACAAGACAAGCCCAAACCTCCACCTGAGACGGCAAACCAACATCACGGGCAATCGACAGAAATCACACAATCAGGAAGACGCAAGGCAGCCACTGCAGCAGCTGGCAACTTGACCTTGAGTGATGGGGTCTGAGCATAATTGTCACCAAAACTTGCTAACTTTCATTTGCTTGCAAAGCATGCCCTGAATTTGTCCTCCCCTTTCCGTCTCTTCAGTGACTGACCCAGAGTGATCACACTGGTGGCTTACATGTTGCTATGACGCTGGAAGCTGCCACCAGTGTCTCAGACCACAATGGACAGCTCTCCGTGGAGCACCTGGGCTTTCGGAACAAGCCTGGCGATCTCCTGAATAATCAGACCATGAAAACCCGAAGCAGCGTAGGTTAGAAGGCTCTCCTGGCACACCATGTCCATCCCGGTGGACTGGGGCACGCACGGCTGTGAGGGAGCACCAGGCGAGGCGGTGCTCTGTTCTGATGTGGGTGGAGGTGCCACGAGCCAGAGCCTCCTCTCTGGTCCCTGCTGCTGCGGTTGCTTTTCCGTAGCCAGAGCGAGCTCTTAAAAACGCCAGTCACAGCATATGGACACAGCCTAGAGGAATCTCCAACTCACTGCTGTCGACTGGAACCTGAGCCGCTCCTCGTACCCTCAGGTCAGGGAGCACGAGCGACCTCCCACCTCCGCTCCTTCGTCCGCCACTCCCTCCAGCTTCAGGCCCAGTGCCGCCTTGCCAGTCCTTGGGCAAACTCAATACAGAGTAAGGGGCACTGACCATGCTGTAGCGAAAGTCACATGGGCATAAAATCAGGTATGGAAATCCATTTCTAGAGATGACTAGAAACCAAGCCAGTGTGAAATAACGTAGCCAGGAAGCAAACAAACTGATGCAGAGCTTAACTTTTGCATTTTAAAACAAGTCCATTCAGCTCGGGAATCCCTGGTGGCACAGCGACCGAAGGCTTGGCTGCTGACCAGAAGGCTCGTGGTTCAAGTCTACAATAGAGAGGACCTGTGAGCTGCTCTGAGAGGAATCGCAACACAAGAAGCCCAGGGGAGCATCTGGACTCTATCCTGCCGGAGCTGCTGTGGGCCGGAACGTACTCACTGAACACTGTGGTCAACAGCTCAGACCTTAAGACAACCAGAATCGGTTTCTTCAAAGTGCAAGATAAAACTGACAGGACATTCAGGACAAAAATCCATACACCTTTCAGGAGCGCTAATAGCTTGACATTCTGCATGGTTATGAGCAAGTCCAGGGAGATGGTCAGGGTCCCCATGAGCTCCACAGCTAGCGTTGTCCTTGTAGAGCACGCTCTTGGCGGGTTTGCCTGCTTCTGCTAGCCAGGGCGACAAGGGCTGCTTTTTCTATCAAGCAGAAATACGTAACTCTTATTTTCTCTTTTCCATACCACTACCCACGAAATCCGAACAAAAGACAACGGGGTAAATATTTTAAAAACCAGATTTCCTTGAGAATCTTAACTGACTACCTCCCAAGCCCTACACTAAAGAATGAGTATTCACTTACACGATGCCATTAAGCAGCTGTTCTCAACCCGTGGGTCACCCAATTCATAACAGTAGCAAAACTGCAGTTATAAAGTAGCAACGAAAATAATTTTATTATTGGGAGGTCACAACATGAGGAACTGTATTAAAGGGTTGCGGCATCAGGAACCCTGAGAGCCACTTCTTTAAAGGCAGTTAAATGTGGTTGTAAAAAATATAAACATTAAGTATCAGCTCAGTACACAATCATCTGTAAAGTGCTGTGTTGCTTTTCCCCAGTCTCCAAAAGAGAACTATTTCCGTTATGCATATACCTTAGGAAAACCTCAGTGATTAAGCTTTGCAAATTAGAATGCTAACCTAAAACTCCAGAGAGGACACCGTTTTATTTATTATGTATGTATGTATGTATGTTTACCACTTAGGCTTCAGGAACCTGCCTCTTTCCCACACTGGTGGGGCTGGGAGGCTATGTGGAAACATCGGGATTTTCCATCTGTTAGGAAACATGGTTACATGGTAACCAATCCCTGCTTCAAACTGGGAGAAATTACTCTGGAAACCACAGTATCGATGTAAGTGTTATTTTTTGAGGGCAATAATGAGTAACAAAATTTTGAAGATGCTGGGTGCTCTGGAAGCAAAAACTAACAACTAAAATTGACTTAAATCACTTAAGATTGGTGTAAATCGTGTATTATTAATCAACAAAATGTTTCTGAAAGCACTGGTAAACGTGAAGATCAATAGAATATAGTTGCGGAGATTTAAGATTGCTGTCCCTAGAGGGTGGTAAACATGCAAGTGCTGACTTCTCATGGCCGTGTTGCTTGTGCAGAAGCTTTGGGTTGTTCCCTGGATAAGCCAAACACCACTGCTTCGGGGTGTCTGTACTTGCTGTTCCCCGCCTGCCTACTCCTCCACACACACTCCCACCGCTATTCCCTCCCTTTCTTTGAAGTGGCTTCCCTGCCTTATCTGAAATAGCTTCTCATCTCCCCCATCATGCACCGCTGACTTTCCTTCATGGCACTACATGAATTTGATTTGTCTGCCCCACTAAACTCCACCGGAGCAGGAACTGTGTCGGTTATCCGTACTGCTGGTTTCCCAGCACCTAGCCCAGTACTTGGCACACAGTACAAGTACTCAGGAGATACTCAGTACAGCAATGTAAGGGTAGCAGCAGGTCGGCCCAGGGTTTGTATCCCACACTGTGAGTCCACCACAGACCTGCTTCTAAGTAGAATGCTCCTGTCCACGTAGGTACGTTCTACATGGACCCTGAGACTCCATGCTCCGCTTTCTGTATTCAGTGATGACTATGCAGAAGACAACGTATAACAGAACTTTATGGAACAGACATGATTGGGGAGCTAAATAGGTGGAAAGTGTTTGCAAAGAGCAAACAGGCATGACAAATTTAAGGTTATGTCAGGCTAACCCTCAGGAGCACTG